TGTCTACAAAGTGGAATAATTTCTGTAACAGGGATCAGGACAGTAAATCTGAAAATGCAAATAAATAATGAGAAGTTAAAGATTTAATTATGTAGTATTTGCAACATGACAGTTATTATAAGTATATTGATTAGGATGAACATAAATACAGATTTTTGATTGTTTATTACATAATGCACCAGCTTATTACACCACCACATTTTGTAATAATTGCCGCAAAATCTAATAACGTTATTACAAAATGTGTTGCTGCTACATTTGGTTTATTTTTATGCTAATTGTAGTTATTTTTTCTGCTATTTCAGCTAAAAGTCTTAAAATACACCTCTTCTGTTGTTCTGGTTCTGCTGGAGGTTTCTTCCTGTTAAGGGGCAGTTTTTCCTCTRTTGCCAACGTGCTGCTCAGGATGAGAGACTGTGACGAAGTGAGGATTCAACCCAATCTGCTGGCTTCTTTGTTGTTTTTTTGTGTGTACAGTACCCTGAGACAAAATTTGTTGTGACTTGGTGCTATATTGAATTGAAACTGAATTGAATTGAATATATTGATTGTCTTTAACAAAACAAATCTTTAGTTTAAATGGTTCAAACTCAAACATCACAGTAAATGTGGTGACGGTTAGTAACTCACTGATGTGGGCATCTTTTTGACCGTTTCAGAAATAACTTGTCCGAAGGGCTTCCACAGCTGGAACGCATAACGACCTGAGGATCAAACATAACAAAAAAAATCTCTTTGTAACAAAATATTTGATGCGTTTCCACTGCGAGTCCGCGTCAGACTCTCCGGCACAAGTTACAGCAGACTGTGAGCTGAAGTTTATCAGATCATCAATACCCAAACTACCTCCACACTACTGAATTATCGTAGTCGTTTCTATCTTAACTATTTCTTCTTCCTTGTTTTAAACATGAATGCTATTCATTCACTGCTGTTGAGCTCATTTTGATGCAGGTATCCACTATGCTGTAGATACCATTGTTAGCATAGTGTAAAACAGTGGTAGCACTGAGAACTGATGTAATGTATATCGATCAAATATCTTTAAAAGTCATTTCACTGTTATTGAAACATTTTCTGTTGCTATGTGTATATA